CTATCTATCTATCTATCTATCTATCTATCTATCTATCTATCTATCTATCTATCTTAATGTATATATGAGACAGGGTCTCATCATATAGCCCAGGCTGGCATTGCCCTTGCTGACCTCAAACTCCCAATACTCCTGACTTTAGTTTCCTCAGCGCTGGGTTTACAGAAGTGTGCCACCAGGACCCACTTGAACTGTTTATTTTTAGCTGTTGAAGCTTGAGAGTTATTTCTATAAAGATGCAATTTGACTGTCATAGCAAGAGGAGCTGATAACAAAGAAGAAACAGGAGAGACATACTTTCCATTGTCTAGAAGGGAGTGGAGAGGGAAGGAGAGGAAAAAAAAAACCCCACAGGCTTCAACAAAGCTGCAGGGATGACATTCCACTGTACTCACTGCTTCGTAGTCAGCCAGCTCCAGCCTTGCTTTGTTCTGCATTGTCCTCTTACAGAGATAGATGGCTGAGGAAGAAGAGAAACAGCAGCCATATAAACCCAGTAGTACACTGGAATGAACCCAGCCTGTGTCTGCCCAGCCAGTCACCCTCCGTGCTGGCTAGTTTTATGCCAGCTTGACACAAACTAAAGGGGTGGAGGGAACCTCCATGAAGAGAATGTCTTTATGAGACCAGGCTGCATGCAAGCCTGTAGGGCATTTTCTTAATTAGTGATTGATGGGGGAGGCCCATACCATCCCTGGGCTGGTGGTCCTGGGTGCTGTAAGAAAGCAGGTTGAGTGAGCCTCAATGAGCAAGCCAGTAAGCAGCTCCCATCCATGGCCTTAGCATCAGCTCCCTGCCTCCAGGTTCTTGCCCAATTTGAGTTCCCATCCTGACTTCTTTTGATGATGAATAGTAATGTGGAAACATAAACCAAATAAACTCTTTCCTCCCTAAGTTGCTTGTGATCATGGTGCTTTATCCCAGCAACAGTAACCCTGACTAAGATACCCCCCTAGACCACGCTAATGCCCAGCTGTTTCCAAAAGGGAAACAGCTTTTCAAAGTGGACATCGCTGCATCTGACATCCCCCCTTCTTCCCTTTCCTATGCGTCGAAACACCCTCTGCCCACAGTAACCCTGCCCAAGCATGCCCATTACCTGCCTTGCACCCTTTCTAAAGTCTTCAGGGTTGCAAATTTGGCCCTTTATAATCTCACCTTGCCTTGCCAACCTCCCCTTCTCTCCCACAAGCTTTATGAGGTGGGAGAGAAGCTTAGCTTCCCAGGCAGAGGCCGGGGGTCAACGTTTAGTGTCCTTCCTCAGATGCTATCCATCTTGAAACAAGGTCTCTCCCTAGGACATGGGGCTTGCTAGTGAGCACCGTCACTAGCGTGGTGCTCATGTCTTTGCCTCCCCAGCACGGGGTGTACAAGTGCGCACCCCCACATCCCTCTTTTCATGTGGGTGAGCGGCCAGAACCGAAGCTCTCATACTCGCACATCAAGCATTTTACACCGTAACATCCTCCCACCACAGTCTCTCGGATCCCTGAAAAGCTATAGACCTTCCACTACACAACCCAGTCTTACAGTATTCCTGGTAACTGGAGTGTCCCCTGCTCTAGGGTGAAGGCTCTTTAGGGAGGCAGGCCGTGTCTCACTCAGTTGCAGCCATGCCCCTGGTCCCCAGGCATGTTCTGCCAGGGAAGGAAAATAATAATAATAAGGAGGAGGAGGAAGAAGAAGAAGAAAAAGAAGAAGAAGAAGAGAGGAGGAGGGGGAGGAGAAGGGGGGAAAGGAGGAGGAGGAAGAAGAGAAGGAGGAGGAAGGTAGAGAGTCTCTCTGTCTCTGTCTCTCTGTCTCTGTCTCTCTGTCTCTGTCTCTCTCTGTCTCTCTCTCTCTCTCTCTGTCTCTCTCTCTCTCTCTCTCGGCTTGTCTGTTCAGGCTAAGGAAGGGTTTTCAGTCCCAGAACATTCTTTCTCAAACATGACCTTCACTGTTTGCTTTCTATCTCTGCTTCTTCAGTCTTGTCTTCCTTTTTCAGTGCCAAGGAGAAGGACCCAGGGGAAGCAGGGGATGAGAGTTGTGAGCATGAGAATGGAGCACAGACAGCCTGAGCCTGCCGAGTGGCCTGACACCTTTTTAGTGCCCTCTGGGCAATGCCTTGCTGGTTGAAACAACTGACATTATTATTGTTGTTGTTGTTGTTGTTGGCAGCCTAAGCTTCTGGGAATTCTGGCGGTTAGCCTTCTTTCCAGTCCGCTCACAGTTCCGTATTCTACAACCTGTGCAGAGCAAGGCGAGCTGAGGTTGTTTCCAAATCTGCTTCTGTCAGTTAAGGTGTGTTCTCTATTTTAACAACAACAACAACAACAACACACACAAACACACACATCCCAGACCTTTGTTTTGACATCAGTGGGAAAGCTGAATTAATCTACTAAAAACCACAGCTACAGATTGCAAATTTTGACCTTCTCCTTGGCTAGTGATGGGTGATGGGTCACTCTGGGGAGGCTGGACAGGAGCAGAGAGTCATGGTGCCCACAAGCTCACAAGGGGGGAAGAATTAACACTGCACAGTTGTTAAGTGAGGGAGTCTGGTAGGTGGGTGCGTATTTTGACTTGGGAGATGGTCAGGTTACATCGGGACTATCAGGATATAACCTCACCATATGTTGAGGACCGTCTGTACCGATGAAATTATTGTTGAGGGTGGCTGTGTCTCTGAAGACATTGCTAAACGGCTTGGAACAAGCTAATGAATAAAGGAGAGTTGAGTGAGGTAGTTGGTGGTGAATTTGTCACAGAGGAGACACCTGGAGAAAAGCAGTAAGAACGTAGGAGGGGCCGATATTCAAACTGGATGGTTCGTTTAAGGAAAAAAAAAAAAACAAAACTCAAGTCCTTGGGATCGACAGCCCTTACTTCATAGGCTGCTGCATGAATGCCTCTTGGCATAACTTATGTTCATGCAGAGCGGTGGTTCTCAACCTCCCTAACGCTGTGACCCTTGAATACAGTTCCTCATGTAGTGGTGACCCCAATCGGAACATTATTTTCGTTGCTACTTCCTAACTGTAATTTTGCTACTGTCGTGAATAGTAACACAAGTGTATGTGCTTTCTGGTGGCCTTAGGCCAACCCCTGTGAAAGGGTCATTCGACCCCCAAAAGGGGTCACAACCCGAAGGTTGAGAACAGCTGATGTAGAGGTCTCAAAGCAGGTGCATGCCACGCCTCCTGAGTTTCACTATACTAGCTCCTTCGATGAACCAACAGAATTCTACATTGTGCCAGATAAAGAACTGTCTGCTCTGAACAAAGCACCCCCTCTCCGACCCTGTCTCGGCTTCTTGGCTCACAGACAGCCTGTGGGATTGGGGCAATCAAGCAGGAAGCTTGGCATGCCACCTGTCCCCCCCCCCATCCCTGGTGAGCCAGTGGGGGCAGCAGCTACTTTGACAAAGCATTTTCTACTGGTCAAATGTGAAACTCAAGAGATGTAGGGGGTGGCTCCCCGGGTACGGATGCTTGGTGTCCAGGCTCGAAGACCTCAGTTCGAATCCCCTGAGCCCATATAAAATGCTATACGTGGATATGTGTGGGTGTGCATGGCTGAGTATTCTGGTGAAGCGAAGAGCAGAGCCAGGAGGCTTCCTGAGCTCACTGGTCACCGGCCAGCTCCAGGTTTGCTGAGACACCCTGGATCTGGCTTCCACGTGCATATAAGCTGGTGTCCCCTCTACACCCATACATACCCACATTCACATACACCTCTCACCCCCCGCCCCCAATAAACAGATCAGGGAGGGGGTAACACAGATTTTGACTGTGGGTTTTAGGAAGGTAGGATCACCCCAGGAAGATTTCCACCTAGGCAGGAATGGCCAGACAGGTTCTGGAGCATTGAGCGAGGGCTACAAAGCTGGTGCCGCAGTGCTGGCCACGAGCCCAGCAGTCTTGGACGTCTAGCCTGCCTCTCAGTTCCTCGCGCTGCACTGGGAACCTTGCTTCTGGCGGTTAAGGGTTTGTATGTACTCATAGGTAACTTTCTTAGAGCTCCGGCTCTGGTGACCTCTAGTGGTGACAGCCAGTCCTGCAAGAGGCTCTCCGGGGGACTCTGAAACACGTTGGCTTGTCCTGTTTGTTTGCTTGTTTCTACTAAAACCAGTTATCTCAGCCTGGCTTCACTCGGATATCCCTACTCTCATGTGCCCTTGTGACACACCATGAGTGTAAAAACTTTTTTTTTTTAAACATATCTGAAACTGCTTTATTTCAGTGTACACAAAACCTGATCCGTTCTCGTGGTCACCATGACAACAGCACCTGCTTATGCTAAGCTTACCAAATAGCAGGGACCTTACCAATGCGGACTACACACAGTTCTCAGTAGGTTTGGTTTGGGTCCCTATTTTGCAAATGAAGGGAGTTGTGCAAGTCATTCCTCCTTGCTGGGCACCCAAAAGGGCTCCGGAGATGGCTGAGTCAGTTGAACCTTGTCTTCTTGACTGCTGGGGCTTTTATCATATAACCTGCCACTGCCAACCTGATGGGGTCACCCAGGAGAGGAACTTCCGGGCATGCCTGTGAGGCTGTTTCCTGGAAGGTTTAACTGTGGAGGGGAGACCCAGCCTAAATGTGGATAGCACCATTGCGTGGTGAGGTCCTGCTCTAAACACAAACAAGACAGCCAACTGAGCACCAGGATTCAGCCTTCTCTGTACTCCGATTGCAGATATGGGCTGCCTCAGCCTCCTGCCGCTGTGCCTTTCCACCAGGAGAGCCAAAGAAACCAGAAAGTCTTTCTGGCTAGGCCTCCCCCCACCCCCAGCAGTGAAGATAGAAATGAGCCCAATATCCCTCCCAACCTGTTCAACCTTCTCGCTCATCTTCATCCACCCTCCTTCTCCCATCATGCCGCTTTTCCTGCTGGGCCAGCAAGACTGTGGCTTGGTCAGGTCTGTGACACAGACGCTAACACAAAGCATGCCCTTAATCAGTGTTTATGGAATGAATAAAAGTTTCCCATCCTTGACCATTGAACTCATTCTTTTCCTGAATTCTCAGTTTCAGGCTTACCTCCTCCTGGGGAGAGCACCATCGTTTGGTAAGAATTGGCATCATTGTAGTAATACCACTGTCAGCCTCTACCACGCCTGGGACAACATCCCCCAAACTGTGCTCACAAACACTGTTAACAAACAGTGTTCACAAACATTTCCTGTTTTACTTAGTCTCAACTGAGCAGAACCAAGCAATGATCTCACTCTGACTTTAATACGAGGGCCTAAGGGGAGGTTAGGAAACTGACCTAATCACACAAGAGTGGGACCGGTTGATTCTGGGTCCTCTTTGCCCAATTTTCTCCTGGGAAGCTGACTTTCTGGCTAAACTGTTCCTTTCTTTTTATATCCCGCACCCTGATTTTTCCCACCCGAGACTTTGCAATAGACCAAGGCACAGGAATGCAAAATGATTTGATGATAAGGGGATCCTGAAATAATCTGTTGTTTCCATCTCTGCTGAGGCTGCCCACTAATATTGTGAAGTGGAGGTCTGTGGAGAAAATTCTGAAAGGGAGAGAAACCTGTCCCGTGTACTAAGGGTGAGATAGTTGGTTATATTTTACTCTTATTTTGATTCAGATGTCAGGTCTGACTCCACCTCCTGGCTCCTGCCTGAGGGGCACATGCTGGGCGGAACTGGGCTGTAATTATTCAAATGAGATGGGCCACCCTGAGCAGTCTTGCAGCCTTGAAGCATTTGTTTTACGGACAAACATAGCTCCTGTTCTGAGATGGAAGCCTTTCTGGACCAAACTGTAGGAAACAGCCGTTTGCCCACAGTGGTGGCCCAGGACAGATGAGCAGCAGATGCCATCCTGCCCTTCACATGAGCACATCCTCTCGACTTATCACCTCAGTCGGCAATGCCTCACTTGCCTGGCCTCTCCGGGCTGTTCTCAGTGGTCTGCATGCATCCCACAAAGCTATGCTTCAGAACGGCAGCTTATCCTGTGGGTCTCTAGGACAAGGTTCCCCGCCACCCAGTCCCTGCAGCTGCAGCTGCTGTCCTGTAATTCTCCGCTCTGCAGAGATGCAGGGGAGAAGCTCTTTGGCTCATTGAGTGCCTCGGTCCTCAGCAGAGCCATTGACTAGACTGTACTAGTGGCTGCAAAGATGCCTGGCAAAGGGAGTGGGCGCTGCTGCTAGGGAAGACCATGCATAAGAGTAGGAAAGGAAATGGGCTGGAGTCACTTGGATCTAAGTTCAAACCCTACTGTTTCCAGAATGATTTTGTTCTTCCCAGCACCCATATCCAGGCTCAGAAGCTTCAAAGGATCTAAATGCCCTCTTCTGGCCTCTATGTGCACTACACAGACGTGGTACACATACACAGACAAGCAGGCACACACACATAGACGAAAATAAATAACTTTAAATGCTGTGTGGCAAACTATAAAAAGGAACCAGAACAGGAATGAAGCGTAGCTTAGCACACGTGAGGCTGTGGGCTCGATCTCAGTGCTGTAGGAGAAACCACCTCAATGCAAACGAAACAAACAAAAATATCTTAAGCAGTAACAAGACGTCAACCGTTTCCATAAGTAAAGATTCACCGAGCACCACATGTGTCCTATGCCACAGATTTCACCCTGGGGGCAATTCGAATACACAGGGCAGACCAGCTCCTGCCCTCAGGGGTCTCACTGTCCACGGGGAATTCAGACAAACAATCCTGTGAGGATGTGAAACTTCCTGGGTCCCAAGTTCTCTTCCTCAAGTTGGGGACAATATAATTTCTTCAGAGAATTGGTTCTTGGCGAATGTTAAATAAGCTCCACAGAGAGTATGACATGGGTCTTACTAGGCTCTGGCTGGGTAATAATAACTTTCAACTTCCCTGTTCCTCTAGTCCAGGGTGACAGCTGTCCATCCCTCTCTGTCTCTCGCCTCTTAATTTTCAAGGATAAAAAATTGCCAATGAATTATAGTAAGTTTTTACAAGTATGTGAGAATGGAAAGAGCCAGGGAAAGACAGTTCCCTGATGCAGCCTTCTCTGATGCTATGTCCCTAGAAGGAGCAATAAAAGTCCCTCTCCCACAGTGTCCCCATGGGGTTTTAGCTCGCCCAGCTCCACTGCACAATCACTGGTGATAAAACCTGTTCCCTTTGCCCCTTCTTGGGAGGACTGCACCTCTCAGTGCAGCCAAGACCCCCTTTTTCCAGCACCATGGTGACCAGGTGCTAAGCGTTTGTCTTCCGTACTCCCGGGAGTAATAGAAAGTGTGGGTCATATCAGCTCTTCTCACCATAGTCCGTGTTTTCAGGTTCCCAGCAGTTTGAAGGCCAGAAGTAAGGAGCCTGAAAAAGAACAGGTGGCATCAGAACCAGGGACACGCAGGGGTAAAGCTGAGAGATTCAAGTGTGGGCAGACATACCCTGGCATAGACACCGGGGAGGCACGGTTTCCTCTTCTACTCCTCTGGAGAACTATCTCCCAAAGCCGTTGGCTTAGACTTTGGCATAGCCCTGGCTCTCTGGCTCTGCTTAACCCAGGGGTTAAGTTAATGCATCTCTTAGATTTCCCAGTGCCTGGTTGTCCTGCAGGTTCTAATCTGAGGTCACATGCTGGCGAGTAGGAGGAGCCAGCAGGCCTACCTGGAAACGGTAAAAAGTGCCATCATCCTTCATGGTGAGAACGTGATCTGAGATCGGGAAGATGTAGCCCTGGGCGGCGATAAGGCTCCCCAGGTGTATTGCTTCGACTGCAAGGAGAGAAAGGATGAGGAAGCAGGTCGTTGGGCTACACATGCCCAGGGTTAGCAAAGGAAGACCCGAGGTCCTGTGTCATCCTCGAGAGCAGCGGTTCCTAACCGGTGGGTTGTGACCCCTTTGGTGGTCAAATGACCCTTTCAGAAGGGTCAGCTAAGAATACCAGAAAACACAGGTATTTACATTATGATTCATAACAGTAGCAAAATTACAGCTGTGAAGCAACAACAAAAATACTTTTTTGGTTGGGAGAACACCACAACAAGAGGAACTGTCTTAAAGGGTCACAGGGGTAGGAAGGCTGAAAACCACTGCTCTAGAGGATGGTGCTGATGAAGCCTTCCCCTGCTGATGGTGGGGATGGAAGGAAGCTGACAATTGAGAAGGACCATGGAGTGTCTGACCTCCTCTGAGAAGCTGGCAATGTCTAACCACTCATTCCTCCATACCACAACCTTCTAAAACAAAGTCAGATCTCACATCGCGGTGTAGACCAAATAGTACCAAAAGAAGTGAGTTTTCTCACACAGGTCCTAGCAGTGAATGGCTCTTGTGTTTTATCACCCTTGCCACCTAGGTGCCATCCTGTGGTCCACGGGCTTCAAAAATCTCCTTGTGACTAGACGGTCCCCTTGGTGAGGACAGGACCACTACTTCTTTGATGGACTAGGGGCAAGACCTCACTTTTCTAGGAAATCAGAGGAAGGACAATGGGGTAGGCAGTGCCATAAATGATAAACCTGATAGAAAAAAAAAATGAACATTTCTGCCAAATTCAACCTGCTGCTTCCTTATCTCAGCCCCAGATGTACACAGATTTTCATTGGTAGTTAAGATTTTAGCTTATCCTGAGAGGAGCCCACACAGGAGGGGGAAGATGGGACCTAAATGCTCCTATTTTACCTAAGACCCTCCCCAAGGACTTCTTGTTGGTTAGAAGGTAAGTCCTGGGCATGGAATTAGACATGCTCTGAGGGCCTCTAAAGGGACCAGTTTTATAAGCTCTGCATTTTCAAGTCATGTGTCTTGTCTATAACCATAAGCTTTTCAACACTCACTACAGCCCACGTGCTTTGCTTTCTAAGACTCACCATGTCTCCTTGGAAGTTGTACCTATTGTGGGTGGACTCAGAATAAGTGATGTTTTATTTTACCCACTTCCTGATGACCAGTTTTCCTTTAAAATTTTATATGGCTGTCCCTATGTATCCATGTAGAATTTGTTTCAGGGCCCTCATGGAAAACAAAATATTTAGATGCTTAAGACTTGATATCAAATGGCAACATGTCTGAATAAACTGTACAGTCACCTGTAAGCTTCAAGTCACCTAGAGGTGACTTTGATGCCTAACACTGTCTAAATGCCATGCAAACAGCTGCCAGTATATATACACTATTATATATTATATGTAAGTGTAATGCTTAGGGAATAACAAAATGTCTCTATATGTTGAGCATAGATATACCTTTTGTAACAAATATTTTCAACCCAATGTTAGTTGACTTCAAAGTTAAAGCTCTGGATACAAGGAAGCACAACTGTATGCTTCAAGAATGACAGGCCAGGTGTGACTTCACGGGTCTACAGTCCCAGCACCCAGGAAGCTGAGGCAGGTGAATTGAGAGCCGAGGCCATCCTGGGCTACATATAGTAAAATAAACCAACCAGCCAACCAAAAACCTAACACAAACAAAGGCAAGAATGGCAGGTCCAGCAAGAAGGACATCTCCATCATTGCAAGATGGAAGAGCAAGATCCTGAAAGAAGATAATGTTGTACCACTAACGCCAGGGCTAAAACTCTTATCGATGCTTTTACTTTGACAGATGTGGAAAAAATCAACCTTAGCTGTCTAGCAGTGTCTTTTTTTTTTTTTTTTCTGGAGCACCTCCCCCTATTAGACTGTGAAAACACATCTTCCTGCCTATCTTCTGGTGAAAGGACAGCTGTGGAAATTGTCTCATCGGTCAGGGTTTGTGCTGCCTTTCTGGTAGACTCTGCCTAATTGAAATGCACAATTAGAGTCGAAAAAAAAATCACTCCTTCACTTCTTGCAGAAGCAGAAAACAGAAGGAGTTTTAGCAAATAATTAAACATCTTAATTGTGGATCAGGCAATCTAATTTTAAGAGCTGCTTTCTAGAAGGCTGTTCGGTGACAGGGCTACAACTTATCTGTAATTGCTCTGGCTAACGAGAATTCATCTCATTTCACACGCTATTGTGTTGAGCTCTTTGGCATTCTAAATAGTGGCTCATTTCCTCAAAGGGTGATTTCCACGTGATGATAGACATTCAACGGAGAAAATAGATGACTTCTATCTGCAAATACAATGATCCTACATTCTGGAATCCATGATGATAAGCCTTCCCTTCAAGACTGACCAGGGACCACTGGAGGAGTTGGTCATGGCATGTGTACCAACACCTGGGGAGGTAAGGGCAAGGTCAAGGGTCAAGTACCTGGGTCCTCAATGGAAAGGTTCTTCATAAGCCACTGCACAATGTCAGTACCTGCAATGACAAAGAAATTTCAGCCCTGAAGATCTCATGGGTAGCAGAAGAAACATCTTCAGCAGAGTTGTAAGCCCAGTAGCACATCGCCTGACAGCTGGATAATACTGCCACCTTCCCATGCTAACCAGCCTTTCCCATCCACGGGGATGTTGCCACAGTTATGATTCGATAACTGCTATCCCTCCTTTTCCTCCTTCTGTCCTGGAGGCAGGCTTTCATGCATCCCAGGCCGGCTTTGAACTTTCTGTGTAGCTGAGGAGGGTGAGATCCCAACCCCGAACCGCCGTCACCATGCCTACTTTATGGTGCTTGGGACAAAACCCAGGGCTTCATGCATTCCAGGTAAGCAGGCTACCAATGAAGCTGCGCACCCAGCCTATATTTAAATTCTTTTACAAACAAAACAAAACAAAACAAAACACAAACTCGCCAGTTTTCCCTGTATTTCTAGGGAACATTTATCAAGAACTTTCTGGGGACACAGATTTCAACGGCTCCCCCCAAGACAGGCTAGTAAAACCTTAGCGTACCTTCTCCCAGAGCATTCTTTTCTCCAGCATAATGTCCTTACTGAAAAGGCCAAACCAACTCAGTTGACCTCAGAGGTTCCTGGAAAACTCATTTTCTTTATATGAGAGTCCATTCTGAACCTACTACATATACCCGCATCTATAGAGGCTACTTCTGGCCTTCACCAGTAGTTTCTCCTTTTCCCTCTGGGCCCCAGCCACCTCACATTTGCAAGCTCCTCGAAGGTGGCTGTGGATTGAACTGTACTAATCGTATGTAAGTAGAATGACTTATACCACTTCCCCCATCCAGCCTTTGAAAACTCCCTTGTGGACTATCCACACCTCCACACCCTTCCCTTACTTAGCTGGGAAACTGAGTGAAGCAGAGATACAATAAGGAAGGGGTGATGGATCTCACCATGAAAATTAATGGCTCTTTGGAGTCCTTGTGGGAAGTCCTGCCTGCTTTCGGAATAAGCCCAGTTTTTAGGAACTCATGGACTCCCTGCTAGCCAGCATGTTTAAGATGCACATCACGCCTTAGCAGAAATTCGACCCTCTTACTTTTTCCTGTTGGTTTTGCCTTCTGATGACAGAGGAGTGAACCTGAACCTGGAACCTCATCACTCTGTGGCCATCCCGTCAGATTTTGGGCAGTCCTCCCATCAACCATCAGTGTCATCATTCCCAGTGTGACGGACCTGGACTCATCCCGTGGCTTGGCCTGGAGGTCCTCACCACTGGCCACGGTCTCCTGAATAAGCTTCCCTTTATCATCTTCCTTTAAAAAGACACAGCTAGAGCCTGAATTCCAAGAGCAGCCTAGCTCACACGGGAGTGTGTAAAAAGCGGAGGGGTCCCAGAACGAGCGAAGTGATAAGTCCTGAGTGCATGCGTATTGTTGAACACAGGCACAGACAAGGCAAGGACCCTGTGGAGCTGGAAAAGGCTTCCCCCTGGTGGGGCTCAGAAGCATAGCAAAGTCTTCTTTTGGGGGGGAGGGAGTCCAGTGCAAGCAATTGACAACTGTGCATAAAAGCTAGCAACTGTGTCTTTCTCTTCCTAGGTATCTATCTACAGCTTGAGACAGTCCCTGACGGACAACTCTTATGAAGACTGGCTATTCCTCCTCCCCGTGCTGTACATAACTAACACACAGAGGCTCTGGGTCGCCGGGGTAGTCTGTGCAGCTCTGCCAGAGTGCACACCCCCTATCTGACTCAGCTGTTCTGTCCTTGTGTCTCTGTGGCTGTCTTCTTTCCGTCCCTTTGCCTCCCCAGTCAGGGTATCAGGACCCGTGCCTTGGAGTAGGTAACAGAAGTGCAAGAACCCACTTATCTGCAAGATACAAAACACCCCATCAATCTACCATGTTGCCCAAGGATTTCATTTCACACTGGTTCGTGGCTTCATCATTTCTTGTGGAATGTTTGTTTGATGAAAAATAGGCTGAAAGGACCAACCTTACCAGATCGGAGTCAAGAGGGCATCCGGAGCCCTGGTGTATGTCTGGGGGTGGGAGCAGGCTCTGCTAATCGAGTGCCTGGCTGAATTCTTAGCCAGGGGAATGAGATCCAGCAGAGGGGTACCCTTTTCCTGGGAGTCAACTTTTTCAGACATCTGGCCATTGACTTGATTTACTCTGCTGGCTGGACAGCCTGGGCCCTACCCTTGTCCTCCTGGGCTTTTACCCAGAGCCAGCCCTCATTGACAATGCCGTTTCCTCACACTTCAGCCTCCAAAGAAAGACTCGGAAGCTCCCCGCCCTTGCTTCCGGATTGCGTCTACGAGCTGAAGTTGAATGTAAAAACACTCCAGTGCCTTCACATCCTTTGAGAGGTAGTCCACTTGTGTAGCTGTGTTTGCCTGTGTGCATTTGCTCACTTCCCCTGAATTACAGAAGTTCTGTGTTTGTCCTAGGAAACGCAGAACAGAGCAGACATCAAGCAAGAACTGTAATCCCAAATTGGGGGTGGGGGAAAGACACCAACCTCTTCTTTTTTTTTTCCCCCTCGAAGAAAAATAGTTCTTTTCTGTGGGTTGCCTGGAAACTGCGAGGCTTCCAGTATCACTCCTGCTGTCCCCGGGGCCTGTGGATTATCTTTCCACTGAGCTTGCTCAGCCATTATTTATCACCTGCCAAGATTGATTGCTCACCCTGGGACAATGACAGCCCTTCCTTTCCCCTGCTAATTACTGTCATCATTAATATCCATGTCACTAATTAGTATTCATTCACATTGAAACTCCTTCCTTGCTATCCTACCCACCACCCCCCCCAACCCCCTAGCACCATTGTCTGAATTGCTACCCACTTTGGGCACTCAGTTTCTGGGCCAGTTGTTCTCTGGCTCTACCATGCCCTGGTCACACTCACTGATCAACAAGGTCACAGTTAAGTACTTCTCTTGTAAGGAAGATAAAGTCACAAGGGTCCCCTTCCCTTCTCCCCGTAACACTCTGAGGACCACAGAACTGGGTATTGTGTCATGGTACAGTGACCATGACAGTCGCCATGCCATGTGGGGACTGTTAAGCTGCGATTCCTGGCTATCCCGGGCAAGGGTACTTCATCTTCTGTGCCATCGCTCTGCTGTGCCCCTCACATACTGTGGGCACCATCCTGTGGCATGCAGAAAGCATGCTGAAAGATGCTTAGGGATGGGTGGAAACACAGACTCTCTCTCGCTCTCTCGCTCTCTCTCTCTCTCTCTCTGGGACCGGTGTTATTTCCGGCTTCTGAGGACTGAAGTGACCCACTCCAGCTTTGGGGCTAGAAGTGAACCACAGCAATCAGGGAAGAAGAATACATCAAAATATGAAAATGATCCAATTAGACATCACAGAGCCAGGCAGGAGCAGTCCACACAGCGACGGGAGCAAGCATCTGCCTTCTCATTTTTGTCTTTCCTCTCTCTCCACCAACCCCAGCGACCATCCTCTCCTTCCTCCTCCACAGAGAATTTGAAGAAGATTCTTTTCTGTTCTATCACAAAATAACTTCTGCTTTCAGTTTCCACTCTTGAATCTGAGATCTTACCTTGGCAACTTGTCTTACGGGGACTTAAAGACTGCTAACACCCACAACGTAATACACGAAGCTGAGTGCATTCCCGGGAGGCCACAGCACTGACTCGGAAGCTGTCTTTCTGAGGCCAGTGCCTGTGTAAGTCTCTCCCTTCCTGTATGTGTTATGTACGTGTTGTATTTGTGCATGAAAAAGTATTTACACATGCATTTGTATGTCAGAGATGAATGTCACTGTACTCTTCACCTCGTTCTTGAGACAGGGTCTCTCTCTCTCTCTCTCTCTCTTTCTCTCTGTCCTGAAACAGGGTTTCTCTGTGTAGCCCTGGTGTCTGTCCTGGAACTCACTCTATAGACCAGGCTGGCCTCGAACTCAGAGACCTGTGTGCTTTTGCATCCCAAGTACTAGGATTAAAGGAGTGTGCCACCACTGCCCGGAAAAGATAGGGTCTTCTACTGAACCTGGGGCTCATCTAGTCAGCTGGGCTGGCAGGCTGGTTGGCTGGCTGTGAGCTACGGGGAGCTATCCGTGTCTGCTTTCCCAGTGCAGGAATTATAGGCACATGACCATACCCAGCTTTTAAGTGAGTCCTGGAGATCTGAACTGCATCCTCATGCTTGTATGACAAGCACTTTAACAACTGAGTCATATAACCCCAGCCTCACCAAAAGTAATTTGTCAACTCATAATACAGGAACATCCGGGAACTACTCCAGAAGGTACCCAAGAACTCTCTACCGCATGTGTTCTGTATCCCAGTATTTAAGTATGTGTTTATTATCATCGGTTACACGCTGCGTTTCACACACTTTGTAGTGTATCTTTCTACTGTATCTTTTACGTATAAACATATTTATTGAATAGAGATTATTATAAAATTCCTCTAACAAGAAAGCCAATAAACCATGGCTCATTCATCCAATAAATATTTACTGAACAACTACTATGCGGAGTGGGGAAAGAAGCACACGATGAAGAGTACATATGGTGAAATGACACTTTTTTACAACAGGAAAGTATTTCTATTTTATTAGTTACACACTTATACACGTGCATACAGAAATGAGAAATAATAGTTCTAGAAATAATTTAAGTTTTTTACTTTAGGCTATCTTGGGCAGGGGAGAGATATCAAACTACTACTTCATTTTTGAACTATTTGAAGTTCACAGCACAACCTCTATGTTTTGCAAAGAAAAAAAATATATATATATTGGAAATGGAGAGGCAAGAGTTGGCCTCCTGCCAAGCATGGTACACACCTTTAATCCCAGAACTTGGGAGGCAGAGGCAGGTAGATCTCTGAGTTCGAGGTCGGCCTGTTCTACAGAGTGAGTTCTAGGACAGCCAGGGCTACACAGGGAAACCCTATCTTGAAACACAAACAAACATACAAATAGCCTCTCAGACCAACGCAGAGGGGATGAGAGGGACTCTTGAGTAGCTTCTCCTATTTT